TTATATTTTGTTCAAGAGGCAGGCATTACCCAATGAAGTTTTAAAGAAATTAAAAATAACTTAAGTATGAAAAAATTGGAAAGGGGAAGGGAGGAGAGATTATGTAGGTATTAATACTAAATATTAATCTTTCATAAGAAGAAATCAACTCATAATGTCTAAAACAGCACTGTTCTATGATGAAAATGTTCTATGTCTCTGGAAATCTTGGTGGAAATGTTCTATATGTACACCTTTGCCGTCTCACTTGAAATGTGGCTAGTGTGACTGAGGAACTATAATTTAATTTAATTTTAGTTAATTCAAATTTAAACAGTGACATGACTGGTAGCTACTGTATTGGACAGCACAGGTTAAAAATGAAATAAGAGATAGCAGCATAAGCATATTTTTAAAGAATTAAACAGAAAATTTATTGATTGTGATTGCTTGTGGGTATGGGGGAATTGACACGGAATGTCTCATTATGAGCTATTTTGTTTGATTTTCTACCACATGAACATATTTGGTTGATTACTACTTAAGTTTTTGGAAGACTATATTGCAACCAAATGGGTCTTTGAAGGGGAACAAAGAATTATGTTTTTAAATGAGATAGAAGTTATACTTGAAGCATCAGATCAAGGCAATATTAAATAATTTGGCAAGAGTCAGGGCTCTAAGCTTCATAAGGAGTTGGATTATTTATCTTGAGTTAGGTAGTAAGGTAAATTGTAGCCAGTGAGGTTAACAGATTCCAGCTACAAATAATCGAAATACTACAAATTTTGAAATATGACCCAGGAATTAGAGAGCTGAGGACTAATACAAAAATAAGGACTTGTTCCTCCCACTTGTCTCACCAAAACTGCTAAAATATGTGTCATTGTTATTAAACCATCACCCAAACCCAGTGGGATTCATTGTGTTCAAACTTACTTTACATTTGAAAATAAAAACATGTGTGATTACCTTTCAATTCAATAAGTTCTCATTCATGAGTAGTTTCTGCTAGGTTCTACTGATGGGTCATGTAGCTGACTACCAAGGCTTCTAAGTTTTATTTTAGTGTGGGGAAGGATTAGGGGAAGTGAAAGCTGTATAGCAATTCTTGTTAAATTAAGAATAGGACAATGAGGTCCACATTTTTTAGATGTGGTTCAGATAGAATTGACTTCAGCTTGGTTACACTTTGTTGCTAACTTTAGCAACTTGTTTCATAGATTTTTTTTTAAAGGTGGAATTGATTGGGATAGAGAGCTTGGAAAGTTTTTCTTTTGAGGCAGTTGGCATGAACCGTTTAGAATTTGTCAACAGAATACTACTTGTGGAGAGCTATGCCATTATTCAATTACGGGTTCAAGTAGACTTGGAACAGATTTATTAAGTTACATTATGGGTTGGAGGGGGAATAATTATTTATACTGCAATCTAAAAAAAAAAAAATCCATTCTAGTGTAGATGATATGGGAAGCACCAAAGGAGCTACAACTACCCATCTGGATCACTTGCTCTTATATTTGAGATGAAAATGAGCATATCCTGGAGTTGCTTGATATGATATGAGAAGTATGACATTATATCTGCAGATGAATGTGACCTGACGGGTGAATAAAATTTAAGCAGAACTGCCATATTTCAACTTGCCTGCTTCAGTTGTACATATATTTATTTGCTATCTAGAGATGGGAACTCTTTGAGGGGTGAACCTACTTATTGAAAATAAATCATCCTTGGTAATAATAGGCTAGTATCTAAAAAGTACAGTTTATATTTTTTGAAATGAAATGACAATAGGCTTAATCCAATCTCATCAAATAGAAACAAAAGGATATGTTGGGGGCGGGGTGAACCGACCCTGTTTATACAGGTTTTCACATGACTTTTCTTTTAAAAAGTGCATGGAATGCATCCAAAACAAATAATGTTTTGTTAGAAGACCAAAAGAAAAATCCTAGAGAAAGGAGGATGGATGATCTTTCTTTAATGTCAAAACTGACATAAACACACTCCTCTTCCCCCACCCTTTTGCTCAAGATAATTTTCTCAACAAGATGCAGATTGCTTCAGTCTTTGCCTATCACCCTTTGAAGCACTTTCATTATTATTAGGAGTGGGGGCAAGGTTTCCTTTGAGGATTTTTACAGCAGTGAAGAGTTCCTTCTTTAAATAGTTTCACATGATGAGGGAATTCTGCTTTCAAAGTGCTGTCATCACTGTGGCTTCTCTGCCATAATACAGTTTATTATTGGGGCAAAGTCCTTCTTGGTTTGATTGTCATTAAGTACTTACCTTTCTGATGTCCTCTTTCTATAGAATGTCACTTTTTCTGAGAAAGCTTAGCAAAGCAACTCAGCATTCTCCTTTGTTAACTCTATTGGCCCAGTTGGCCATGATTCTCTTTTGAAATGTGTTCCATCACAGGGAGCACAGTCTCCAGCATGGTTTCTCCTGTCCATTTCCACTAATCAAGATTTGGGTTGACATACTGAATATTCCATTTTAAAATCTGCCATTTCTTCTAAAGGGCAAAGGGACATGTGAGTTCTGGGGAGCTTTGAAATGTCTCTTTATTTTTATTTTTTGAGTGTCTCTTCTAATGTTTAAATACTGCCATGGTAAACGACAAACAATTCAAGCATCAACAGTTTCCCAGAAACACTGAAATCTTTTGAGACCTCCACTCTGTTTCACCCTCTCATCCTGCTCTATTCTTGAACATAGCTTTCTGGAAAATTCTGTCCATATCTAATTCAGGAACAAAAAATTGAGGAAGAAAGTGGAATGTAAGGAAAGAGTCCTAAAGTCAGAATATTCATATCCTAGTTTACACTCTGCTACTTGCTGCCTGTGTAACCTTGGCAGGTAACTTAACCTTCTGCTCCCTCCCAACCCCAAAACCCTGTAAAATGAGTGAACTAGATGAACTTCATGTTTCTCCTCTCCTAAATGCACAAGAGTATATCTCTCCCCTACATAAAGATGCTTAATTACAGTGATTGAGCCAAGTTAGATACTGCAGTGAGAAACTAACACTAATATTTCCTGAGTTAGTCTGTAAGGAGTATGATTTTATTCTTTTTCTTTCTTGCAGAACTCTCTGATGTGCTGTGATTATTTATCTCATTTGCTTATTTACAGCTAACTGGAAATAAGTTTAAGAAACATTTGAGTTGTGCCTTTGTACTGGACACTGTGTTAGGCAATGAGAATACTCAAGTCAATGAGTTTAAACTGCCTTCAAGGTGCTCACTACTTAGTAAGGGAGGAAAGCATGAAAATAAATTTAAATCCAGGGTGATGCCTAGAATAAGATAAATAAATATAAGATGCAATGTAGCATAAAGAAAAATATATATGTATATATATTTCTCTATACCTATTTTGAATTCTAGGAATAGGACTATGTGGTGCTGGGATAAGGTAGCTTTATGGTAAATTTAACACAACAATGAAACTCCTAAACCTGTTTACTGTTGAATCAAATGTATCCCTCCCATAATATTAGTTGCCTTAAATTGCAATTAAATGAGTTATGCCCTTGAGGGTTAAAAAGGAAAATATGGAATGTTTTCTTTCTTTTCATAGATAAATGACTTTATTTTTCAATGTCCTCAAATATCACCATTAAACCTATTTTCACTAGCAATTGGCACTTCTGTCATTAACAAAGAAGTACCCCTAAATGTGTCAAGTAACCATTGTAAACCAAATATTACAGCCTAGAATATATTCAAATTCTCTTTAGAATTTAGAAAATGGGAAGAAATACATTTTCTTCAGAATGCTAGTATGTCTCAGCTTAAGTATTTTTGTGAAATGTTATAGTCTGGAAGGTTCAGGTTTTCCTGGTGCTTTGTCGCAATTTTGAGCTCAAATCAAGGAATTGGAAAGTGTTAAAACTCTTGGTGTTAAATCTAGCACTGATTATGAATACTATACTCTTGCATTGTGGGGGACAAAGGAGCTTGGGGGATTTGGCCGAATATGTTTTGTTTGAAACTGAAAATCATATTGTTGAAGTTTGCATTCTGTTTTTTTTTTTTCAATAAGTGTATTAACACAAAGTACTAAGTTCTTAAAGGCTTCTTCCTTTCTGCAGAAGTAAATTTGGCTTGTGAAAAAGAAAAAAAATTGCACCAGCAATTCAGCAACATCACCCCTCTTTTATCATTTTTGGGGTTCAGGCTTCAGCTCAGTAACTCCAGACATATTTTGGGGGAACATAAAAACATGCCCATAATACTGAACATAAAACCTGACCATACACTCAAAACATTTGTACAATCTTATGATCCACTTACCATCAAGTTTCTTAAAGTGTGCGTATAGTTTTAAAATCACTAGAATCAATAAAAATTGGAAAAAGATGCTCTGTGAGACAAGGTGCTACCTAGAGATGTCTGAGGAGTGATGCTCTATGAGTCTTTCCTATGAAGTGAGCAAGCTTCTTGCCCATGAAAATAGATAGATGCTATGATTTCCGGATAGCCCTTGTTCCAGGAAATTAGATGAAGATGGTGACGACAGGATAGTCATTTTTTTTTAAAAAAATATTTTAACTGTCCAGACTAAGTACTGAAAAAGCTTGCTTTCTAAGGAGGCATGGAATGGTTGAGAAGTTAACAGCCAGACCAATTGATTGTGTTTTAGAAAACATCATAATGGAAGATAGTGCTTCAGGGCCATGCCCAGTGACTCTGACGACAAAAGAAAGAGTGGTGAGAGAGAGCCGTCTAAGTTCAAGGATGCTCTAGAAAACTATTGGATGGTCTAAGAATGTCTCATGAAGCCCCAAACCCCAATGGAACTGTAATCTGAATGTGAGGAAGGATTAAAAAATAATTGTACTCTCATAAAATATATTCTCCTTCAGCTTTTTACCTTTCTTTTTCAGATTGAAAAGTTAAACAAACACTAAGAATTTTAATTATTTGCTTAGTATTTCTTTAAAATACATTCTAACCCAAGGCTATATATCTCTCCTCTCTGCTTTGATTCCTGTGCCTGCTGTTCTCCAGGTTGGCCTTCATTCCACGATGTGATCAGTTCTGAGGCAATCACATTCACAGATGACTTTTCCTATGGGATGCACAGGGTGGAAACAAGCTGCTCTCAGGTGAGTTCATCCTCTCTGAAAACATAATACGCTGCTCCCTCTGCAATGCAAACACTTTTAGGACTCCTGGTGGTGCTAGATATAGCAACTAAGGCCAAGTGACTGGTCACAAGAAGGACAGACAAGCATGATGAAGTCTATATGAAGTTTGAGGATGCCTATGTTCAGGTGTTTAGCAAGTCTAGTGGAATGTCAGGGCTGGTGTGATATCTCACGTCTGTAATCCCAACACTTCGAGAAGGCCGAGGTGAGAAGATCACTGGGGGCCAGGAGTTCAAGACCACTCTGGACAACGTAACGAGACCTCATCTCTACAGAAAATATTTTAAAACTTAGCAGGGCATGATGGCATATGCCTGCATTTCCAGCTACTCAGGGGGCTAAGCCAGGAGGATTACTGGAGCTCAGTAGGTCAAGGCTTCAGTGAGCTATGATCATGCCATTGTATTCTAGCCTGGGCAAGAGAACAAGGCCCTGTCTCATAATTAATTAATTAATTAAGTCAGTTATTGGCTTCACCACTATTAAACAAAATCATCGGTAGGAACAAAATCATCTTCAATTGGCTCAGAAAAGTGAAGACTGTGTTGTTCTTGGGGCATATGAAGATTTCATTATGTGGCTTTGTATAACCTGATGTTTTGATAAGCTCCCTCACCTTACAGTTCTGTGTACCCACTTCAATCAGAATGCCTCTAATGGCAGTGATCCAAACACATTCAAGGAAGACCTCAGAAATGGCTTTTCTTAGGTGGGTGTGAGAATGCTGGTTGAAGAGAGGATGTGGGAAGTGAAAGTTCAGTGGTAGGTTGGCTATATGAGATAAGGTAATTCCTTTCCTGCTTCTCCTAATGTATAGACATCCTCATTTCCAAGGATTTTCTAATTAGTTCCGTTCGTTCTGCTCTAACCAAATTAATGCTGGCTCTAAGGAAGGAAATGAACATGTGTTGAGGAGGAGGCAAAAATAGTTAATTCGACATCCACAATTGAGAGACTTGAACTTGTAGGTATTTTGTGCTTAAACAAAGAGACATAGAATCTCCTTCTGTATGGAATAAGAGCAGCTCCATATTCTATTGAAGGCAGTCTTGTTCTTCTAATCTGCTTTAAATAAGTGAAATGTTCAGTTTGCAACATTGTGGCATTGAAAGTTATTGACACCACAAGGTATTTTGTTGAGGAATCTATTGGACATATCAGCGGTACAGGGACATAATTAGGCAGCGGTAATAGCAAAGTGATTGCCATATGGGCCTCCCTCAGCATTCTTTACCTGCCCTTTATCCATTTTTCTTTAACCCCCTCCGCAAGGCACAAGATTTTTAGGGAGTAGATGGAATATTTACTACCAAGTGGGGAGGGAGATTGGTTTTAACCTAACCATCTGATGAATTTTTGTTTTTATTAAAAAAAAAGAAAAGAAGACTGGCAAGTTTCCTATCCTCCAAGTGTGAGGACTACTCTCTGTCTTGAAAATTAGACTTCATATTTTATCTGAATCATATTTGCAGCTCACTCTTGTTTCTCAGAATGGAGTCCATGATGGTGATAACAGAACTTTCTGGTGCTGGGTTTCACCCCGAGAGGGTCTAATGTAATTGGATGGGTTTAGTATGGGCAGCAGCATTTTTAAAAGCTTCTCTGGTTAATGCTCATAATAACATTCAGAGGTAGGTTCTTTTTTTCTGTGTTATTTTACAGTTGAGGAAATGGAGGCACAAAGAGAGCAAGTAAACTTGGGTCAGTTTATGTGGATTTAAGTGGCAGAGCTGAGACTTGACTTAGGGTACTCTGCAGAACTCTTTATGGTGCCACATAGATAGACAGATTGAAAAGAGTCATTAAATTTAAAATTCCCATGATCTCCCGGCAGTTGGCTTAACGCAATTTAATTTTGGGGTTTTTTGTTTGTTTGTTTGTTTGTTTTTTGAGAGGGGGTCTTACTCTGTTGCCCAGGCTGGAGTGCGGTGGCACGATCTTGGCTCACTGCAAACTCCACCTCCTGAACCCCAAGCAATCCTCTGACCTCAACCATCTGAGTAGCTGGGGCCACAGGTATGCATCACCACACCCAGATAATTTTTTTGTATTTTCAGTAGAGACAGAGTTTCACCATGTTGCCTAGGCTGGTCTCGAACTCCTGAGCTCAAGTGATCCACCTGCCTCAGCCTCCCAAAGTGCTGGGATTACACGTGTGAGCTACTATGCCCAGCCTGCAATTTAGTTTTAAATTCAATTAAATTTAATTGATGATTTTATAACTGTCACTAAAAGAAATTGAGATTACCTGCCCAATAATCTAAAATGTTTCACAAAATGGTAAACTATAAGTAGGAGGGCTCACATTAATTTGTAAATTAGGGACACAGTACTTAGTAAGCCTCTTTTAAGACTAACAGTTGCTTCTTTTCTTTTTTAAGCTACAAATGCTGTTACATGATTGTTTTTTCTTGTTTTCACTCAGAACCCATTTTCAAACATTGACTCTTATGAAAACTAAATTTAAAAGGTACAGAAAAAATGAAGCATACGATATTAACTTTCCTTATGGCACTACTCTCTAATAGCTTTGTGGCTAATTCTTATAATTCACTGTTGGAATAAACTTCTTTCTTAACATCAGTAGCAGTCTAGGAAAGATCATTATGAAGATGTTCTACAGTGACCAGTGACCAAAGAGAAATGAAACCCACAAACAATGCCAACATTAGGCAACATTCCTAAAAGAATGTTAAACCAAGCATGCTTGGTCAAACCAAACCAAACATAGCTGTTGGCCCCACGGTTAAAGCCTAAGGTGACTGTTTCTGTTCTTTCTTAACAGTTGTGTGACAAACCAACACTGACCTGCTCCCTTTTGGCTTCTTTTTTCACCACATTCACTTCTCATATTTCGAAAATGTTTGGCCCTTTCTTAACTAGAACTCTTAAATTTAAAGAAAAGAGGGAGAGGAATTTGTTCCACTAAGGTATGTATAAAAATACATGCTTTATAGTGAAGTAAGTTCCATGTAGGAGAGAATGAGGTTCCACCACTAAAGAATGGTATGTGTGCCAGACACGTGCTCTTGTGGATGGAGCAGGGGATGTCTGCCACCTAAGCACAAAAAAAACAGCGTAACAAATTCAAGTGGACTAGCTGTCTTTCATTTCAGTTTCGCTGTCTTTTATTTGTGTATTCCATGCACATTTATTTTCCTTTTGTTTTATGATTTTCTTTAGTTTTTTTTTTTTAATTTTCCTTTTTGTCAGGCATGTTTTTTTCACCTTGACTTGATAAAAGATTTAACTGTTCCCATACTAGAGCAACCATTTGTATTTTATTTCCTAGTATCTCATTTTTGCACTGTTTTTCATTATCTGTTTATCATCTTTTACCTTATAGTTTTTCAGTTCATGTAGTCGCTTCTCCTGCTTAAAACGTCTCCCATTTTTGAAGATGTTCTTTTTCTTTTTGCTGGTGAGATAGTGTGGAAAACTTCTCTGGTTTGCTCTCTTTCTAAAATTCTTGCTGTATTTTGAATTTACATGGCTTGCCTTTTCTCTGGACTGAATTGATCAATATGGTTTATATTATAAAAAAATTATTAGATGTTTTTAGTATGTTGTAGACATTTTCAGTTGGATATGATATGTGGCATATTTCTTTCCTTGGTAAAGATGAAATATCGAAATAGGAAGAACCTTTAACTGCCAACTTCTAAAAATGAACTGAGCCTTCATAGACAAAACTTAAATTGACCCAGCCTGCTCAGCAGTTTGTCAATATGGCAGTATTCATTGTTCTTTTGGTTCCTACGTAATTCTTACTTTAGTGCTTAGGATCCTTTTTTAAAAAAAATTGTGGTGGGGATGACACTATGCATGCAGTGAATTAGCCCTCATATTTGCGCAGGAATTATAGACTCACTGGGAGCTGATGGCCTACTGCCTCTTTACAGTACATTGTAAAGAGTTTGTCCATGTGTCCAGTGACTTCTCAGATAGTTTTTAGTAAAGTTTTACTGAGAGAGTTAAGATTGGCTGAGTCCTGTCACCACTTTTTCTAGAAGTCTTGCAGTGAGGTTCTTCTAAAAGAACTGTTATATAGGAAACAGCATACTGCCTAATCTTTGCATTGACAGCACAGAAAATAAGCAGGGGTGGGAGAGATTCTTCACTGTCTCCATTACAATTGCTGCTTATGAAAACTTTCTGATTTTTGTTGCAATTGTATTTGTTCTCTTTTGTTATTCCACCTATTGAGCTGAGAAATTACATTTCGGTTCTTTTCCAAAGAGAATCTTCATCTTCAGTTTGCTCACTTTGTGGGCACATATATTTTCCCTTCAGCAGCAGCCATTTTGTAACAATTTTCGGCTCTAAAGAATTTTCCTTAGTTTAATTTATATTTTCAGTTAGTGATAAAATACATTGCTTCTATTCCAGTTTCACTGACTACTATGAATAATCATTTGACAGCCTCTCCCTAATCCTTCAACCCCAGCCTGTTAAGCAACGCTTTGTCAGGAGTTTAAATTCAGTGCAAAGAGGTAAGATTTCCATGGTTTAAGCTGTAGTTCAGTGAAGTAAGTTCCTTCTAGAATACTTGCGGAATTCTTTCTTCTTCAGATCAAAATTCTACATCTGGAGCAAATGGGAGTCTAATAAATCACTTAACTTTTGTAATAATCTTTAAGGAAACCATCAGGTCTCTTGAATTTACCCATGTTGGAGTCTATTTATGAGTGCTGCTATTACTGTTGAGTCTATGGTATAGTCCCTTAAGTTTGTTTAAGATCGTTATTAATTTGTTCTAAGTCAGCCAAATCAATAGAAAGGTAAATATGCACCAATAGAAAGCATTTTTCAAAAGTTAAGCAGTTTTTGGTAAAACTCCCAAACCTTATTAATCTTCTGCAGATGACAACTCATATATTGCTGATGATTAAAGATACCCATGTGTTACAATAGGGCTTCAGACTCACAGCCCATCTCTTTTTCTTGATCTTTCAGTA